GAACTACGGCAGCAACCAGGACCTCCCCACCACGGTGACGTCGCCCGCAACCGCCAAGAACGCGATCGCCGTCGGCGCGACGATGTCGCTGCGCGAGAGCTACTCGCGGCGGCTGGCGGCGCCTGTGGCCGACGTGCGGGTGGAGGTCATGAACGCGCCCGACGCGCCGGAGGGCAGCGACACGCTGACTCTGCACTGGCGCGTCGTGGGCGTCGAGTGGGGCCCCCAGCTGTCACAGATATTTGACCGGCGGCTGCAGCTGTACACGGCGTCGGACGGCGGCGCGGCGTGCACGCCGGGGTCGGCCGACCTCGCGCGCGGCGGCGTGCTGGTGGCGCTGCGCTCCGCCGGATGCAACTTGGGCACAAAAATCCAGACCGCCGCCGCCGGCGGCGCCGTGGCGTTGCTGCTCGCGACGCGCCAGGAGAGCGGCTACTCGGTCATCCAGCAGGACGGCGCGCCCGCGCTGCTGCCGGTCGGGTCGATCCCGCTGCCGATGGCGCAGCACCTGCGGCAGTACTCCGACACCGGCGCCAACACCACCAACGTCGTTTACGTCACCTTCTCGCGCCACCAGCTGTGCGACTGCCCCTCATACGAGGACATTGCCTCATACTCCTCCTTCGGCCCCACCGGCGACCGCCGCACCAAGCCCGACGTCGTCGCGCCCGGGGACGTCACCAGCGCCTTCTCCAACGGCCGCGCCGACGGCGTCGTGGACCAGTGCATGACTGTGCGCAAGCAGGGGACGTCGATGGCCACGCCCGTGGTGGCCGGTGGCGCGGCGCTCGCGCGGCAGTACTTCACCGCGGGGTTCTACCCGGGCGGAGCGCGCGGCGCCGGGGCGGCGTACACGCCGTCGGGCGTGCTGCTCAAGGCGGTGCTGCTGGGGGGCGCGCTCAACATGATTGGGTACACGGAGGTGAGGGGGCTTGGGCGGGGAGCGCGACTGGCGATTGGCTGCTAGGTGTTTGTTTGACGGCGAGCGGCGTTTCGGCTGCAGGGGCTTTGTGGGTTGGCAGCTTGGGCCGTGTGGCCATGGGGTGTGGTGGCGCCAGCTGTCCCTTGAACAGCCTATCACGGTTCAGGTCTGCTTCCTGTTAAGCATCCTCGGAGCGCCTCCTACTGGCCGGCAGTGTGGGGCCTCTCACCCTTCATTGGTGGTTGCACCCTCTAAACCCCTGCACCCCGCCCCAAAACTCTCCTCCGCAGCTGAGCCTGCCGTTGGAGCCGGCCCCGAGCTTCCGCCAAGGCTACGGACGCCTCAACCTCACGCGCTCGCTGCCCGTCGGCGGCATCGCGCCGCCGGGCTGGCGCATGCAGGTGCCCTTGCGTGCCCTGGTCGCCCCACCAATGGCGGCATGCACAGGCCCTCTTTTTTCATATCCCTAGCGCTCTCTTGTGTTCCTTGCCCTGGCCGGTTGCCTGCCTTGTTTTGTTGAGCCCGCCCACCATGCGATGCCACCTACAACGTTGCCAACCCATCTTGCCGGTCCAAACTAAACATCAAATGGCGCCCCGCCACCCTCAGATCATTGACCTCGCTTCGCTGACCGAGGGCCAGTCCCACCGCTACTGCGTCACCGTCACCGGCCCCACCACCGTCACCCTGGTGTGGTACGACTACCCGGCGTCACCCGCTGCGGGCGTCACCCTCCAGAACGACCTCGACCTTGTGGTGTCGCCTGTCGCCGCCGCGTCGCGCGGCCTGAAGCTGCGCGGCAACGGCTGGCACGACAACCTCAACACCGTCGAGCGCGTGTCGGACATACCGAAGGGCCCCGCGCAGATCGAGGTATCCGCGCCGCGCGTCATCGCGAAAGTGGGGGCGCAGAAGTACGCCCTCGTCGTGCAGGGCGTCTTTGACGGCGCGCTGGCCTCGGAGGACGGCGCGACCAACCCGGACCCGGCCGCGCGCGCCGCGCCGCGCGAGTGCCCGGCGTCGACGGCGATCCGGCTCTCGTCCGTGCCGGCGCCCATCGTGCTTGGCGGCGGCGGCGCTGCCGCAGCCGGCGCCGCAGCTGTCGGCGCTGCCGCGACGCCACAGCCCATCGTGCTTGGCGGCGGCGCCGCCGCCGCAGCCGGTGCTGCCGCGATGCCGCCGCCCATCGTGCTGGACAGCGCCCGCGCCGCAGCAGCCGCGTCGACGATCCCACCCGTGCCACCGCCCAACGGCTCGGCGGCGGGCGGCCCGCCCGCCGCCAGCACGTACCCGGC